GGTTTTGTCGATTCAAAGGGAGCTAACACATTGTGCAAGCTCCAGCGATCCATTTATGGACTGGTGCAAGCCTCTCGGAGTTGGAATAAACGCTTTGATAGTGTGATCAAAGCATTTGGTTTTATATAGACTTTTGGAGAAGCCTGTATTTACAATAAAGTGAGTGGGAGCTATGTAGCATTTCTGATATTATCTGTGGATGACATATTGCTGATTGGAAATGATATAGAATTTCTGGATAGCATAAAGGGATACTTGAATAAAAGTTTTTCGATGAAAGACCTCGGGGAAGCTGCTTACATATTAGGCATAAATATCTATAGAGATAGATCAAGACGCTTAATTGGACTTTCACAAAGCACGTACCTTGACAAGATTTTGAAGAAGTTCAAAATGGATCAAGCAAAGAAAGGGTTCTTGCCTGTATTACAAGGTGTGAAGTTGAGTCAGACTCAATGCCCGACCACTGCAGAAGATAGAGAAAAAATGAAAGATGTTCCCTATGCTTCAGCCATAGGCTCTATCATGTATGCAATGCTGTGTACCAGACCTGATGTGTGCCTTGCTATAAGTTAGCAGGGAGCTACCAAAGTAATCCAGGAGTGGATCACTGGACAGCGGTCAAGAACATCCTGAAATACCTGAAAAGGACTAAGGATATGTTTCTCGTATATGGAGGTGACAAAGAGCTCACCGTAAGAGGTTACGTTGATGCAAGCTTTGACACTGATCCGGACGATTCTAAATCGCAAACCGGATACGTGTTTACTTTAAACGGTGGAGCTGTCAGTTGGTGCAGTTCTAAACAAAGCGTCGTAGCGGGATCTACATGTGAAGCGGAGTACATAGCTGCTTCGGAAGCAGCGAACGAAGGAGTCTGGATGAAGGAGTTCATATCCGATCTAGGTGTCATACCTAGTGCGTCGGGTCCAATGAAAATCTTTTGTGACAATACTGGTGCAATTGCCTTGGCAAAGGAATCCAGATTTCACAAAAAGACCAAACACATCAAGAGACGCTTCAACTCCATCCGGGATCTAGTCCAGGTGGGAGACATAGAGATTTGCAAGATACATACGGATCTGAATGTTGCAGACCCGTTGACTAAGCCTCTTCCACGAGCAAAACATGATCAGCACCAAGGCTCCATGGGTGTTAGAATCATTACTGTGTAATCTAGATTATTGACTCTAGTGCAAGTGGGAGACTGAAGGAAATATGCCCTAGAGGCAATAATAAAGTTATTATTTATTTCCTTATATCATGATAAATGTTTATTATTCATGCTAGAATTGTATTAACCGGAAATATAATACATGTGTGAATACATAGACAAACAGAGTGTCACTAGTATGCCTCTACTTGACTAGCTCGTTAATCAAAGATGGTTATGTTTCCTAACCATGAACAAAAGAGTTGTTATTTGATTAACGAGGTCACATCATTAGTTGAATGATCTGATTGACATGACCCATTCCATTAGCTTAGCACCCGATCGTTTAGTATGTTGCTATTGCTTTCTTCATGACTTATACATGTTCCTATGACTACGAGATTATGCAACTCCCGTTTGCCGGAGGAACACTTTGGGTGCTACCAAACGTCACAACGTAAAAGGGTGATTATAAAGGAGTACTACAGGTGTTTCCAATGGTAGATGTTGGGTTGGCGTATTTCGAGAATAGGATTTGTCACTCCGATTGTCGGAGAGGTATCTCTGGGCCCTCTCGGTAATACACATCACATAAGCCTTGCAAGCATTATAACTAAGATGTTAGTTGTCAGATGATGTATTACAGAACGAGTAAAGAGACTTGCCGGTAACGAGATTGAACTAGGCATTGGATACCGACGATCGAATCTCGGGCAAGTAACATACCAATGACAAAGGGAACAACGTATGTTGTTATGCGGTCTGACCGATAAAGATCTTCGTAGAATATGTAGGAGCCAATATGGGCATCCAGGTCCCGCTATTGGTTATTGACCGGAGACGTGTCTCGGTCATGTCTACATTGTTCTCGAACCGTAGGGTCCGCACGCTTAACGTTACGATGATAGTTGTTATGAGTTTATGCATTTTGATGTACCAAAGGTTGTTCGGAGTCCCGGATGTGATCACGAACATGACGAGGAGTCTCGAAATGGTCGAGACATTAAGATTGATATATTAGAAGCCTATGTTTGGACATCGGAAGTGTTCCGGGTGAAATCGGGAATTTTACCGGAGTACCGGGAGGTTACCGGAACCCCCCGGGAACCAAATGGGCCTTATTGGGCCTTAGTGGAAAGGTGAAAGGGGCAGCCCAAGGTGGGCTGCGCGCCTCCCCCTTCCCCTAGTCCTATTAGGACTAGGAGAGGTGGCCGGCCCCCTTCTCCCTCTCTCTCTCTCGAGGAGTCCTATTAGGAATAGGATTGGGGGGGGGGAGTCCTACTCCCGGTAGGAGTAGGACTCCTCCTGCGCCCTCCTCTCCTTGGCCGGCCAGCCCTCCCCCTGGCAACCTTTATATACGGGGGCAGGGGGCACCTCTAGACACACAAGTTGATCATTGAGATCGTTCCTTAGCCGTGTGCGGTGCCCCCTGCCACCAAATTCCACCTCGATCATACCGTTGTAGTGCTTAGGCGAAGCCCTGCGTCGGTAGAACATCAAGATCGTCACCACGCCGTTGTGCTGACGGAACTCTTCCTTGACGCTTTGCTGGATCGGAGCCCGAGGATCGTCATCAAGCTGAACGTGTGCTAAGAACTCGGAGGTGCCGGAGTAACGGTGCTTGGATCGGTCGGATCGGGAAGAAGACGTACGACTACTTCCTCTACGTTGTGTCAACGCTTCCGTTGCGATCTACAAGGGTACGTAGATCAGACTCTCCCCCTCGTTGCTATGTATCACCATGATCTTGCGTGTGCGTAGGAAAATTTTGAAATTACTACGTTCCCCAACAGCAACCACCTCCCCGAGCTCATGGAGCTCGTCGCCAATCGCCTTGATCCGCTGACAAAACACGCCAACGGGGCGATCGCCCTGCGTGATCGTACGTAGCTCGGTGTTGAGGGCGGACACACGGGCGTCGCGGTTATCCTGGAAGAGCCGGCGGAGCTCGAGCCAGATGTCGCGCGCAGAGGCGCCATCCATGACGACGAGATTGAAGAGCTCCGTCGAGATGCGAGTGTACAACCACTGGATGATGGCGAGGTCATCTTTGATCCATCGAGGATCGTGAGGAGCGGGCGGGGTGTCGTCGGAGATATGGGGAAGAAGAGAGCAACGCCGGAGATGAATCTCAAAGAGATGACACCAATGATAATAATTGTGGCTATTGAGATCGAGAACGATGGGGATGAACGGTGTAATGTCGGTGATGGTATCACTGAAAGAGTTGGGAGCGGGCAGGACGAGAGTGGAAGATGCTTGGCCACCGGAGTTGGGAGGGATCGGGCCGCCGGGGAGAGGTGCAGTGGTGAGAGGAGCGGACATGCCGAGAGAGGTGGTCGGCTGGCCGCCGGGAAGGGGAGGTGGGGGAGGAGGAGTTGGGGAACTGCCAGGGTTCGTCATGGAGTAGGATCGAAGTCTGATATCATAAAAGATTGTGATAATTTGATTCTCATTACTTTCCAAAGAGATACAGGGGTACATATAGCAGCCGTAGGAAAGGCTGAGCGTGGGATCGTGGCGATCGTGGCTTGGAGCGTGGGGCGCTCCTGCGCTGACTCGTGGTGCTGACTTGGCTTGATCATGCGTCGCCTAACACCGTGGGCACCGTTAATGGTTTAGGAGAACGAGTCTCATCATCCTATATTATTTGTCCATGCGATCTTTTCTGTTCCTTGTCAAAGAAACTCGTTGGGTGCTAGCAATACCATGGCCATCTTATTAAAGCTGTGTGGCCTTGTTTGACTTACATACATGGATGGGGGATAGCTCTCTTTGTTTTCTGGGATTCTCGTCATCACAATTTGCATCATTTTCTGTTAGCATGGTGCGCGAGTGTGTAGCCTGTCCGCCCGCCCACTCATGTGTGGTGTTTAAGGTTTCCTCTTTTATTAAAAAGATGCCGTCAAGGGCTAATCTTGGCTTGTCTAATTCTTTTCATTACATTTTGTTCATGTTGCAACAACACAATATGGCTAGTATTAAAATTGTTCGGTGAGAATGTTGTTCGGCTTTGTTCGTTTGGCAATGGTGCTCAGGTGAATGTCTTTGATTGTAAATGGTAGTTCATTCGTAAATTTCGGTGCAAAAGTAGGTATGTTGGAATATAGGTGTATGCCTACTTTTGTCGATGTGTTTCTAGTAGTATAAGGTAGAGGGAATTTTTAGATATTTTCCGTGAACACGACATTATTTTTTGAAAGGAGAATCTGTAGTGGGAGCACTGTGAAAAAGAAGAATGTAGACAAGTGAGGCGGCGTGATGACAGACAAGGATGCACACCATGGATAACAAATTGCCTTACCACCTTGGTAGAGCATCTCATCAAAGCGCAAATATTGCCTCTCGAGTTGGCGCCATCAGAGACATCGACATCATCAAAATTGAGGAGGCCACGACGCTGTGGAGGTGGAAGAGAAGGACACATCGGTAACAAGTAAGCGATGGCGCCGACCGACATGGAGAGAGAAAAATGGAGGCCGCAAGGCCACGATCGAGAGAGAAAGAGCGAAGCAGGAAGCGTTCACGCACTAAGGCTAAGGGACGAACGCTCACTCTTAGTCCCGTTCAAAGGAAAAAAAAATCAAAGAAAAAAGAAACAGAAGACAATATAAAATGGATGCTGGGAAATTTGCGGTGTGGAGGGAGGGAGAGAGACCGCCCTCGTGGAGCCAAATCCGACCGGTGAGCCTTGAGCAAAGCGAACCCCATTTGAACCAGCGGAGGCCACCGCTGCGACGCAAGCGCAACGAGGCCACCTCGCCCACCACACGCAAAGCCAGCCAGCGTCGCGCGCGAGGGAGACGAGAGCGGGGATCGATCGATCGGCCCGACCCGGCCGGCGTCGATGGCGAGCTCGCTGGCCCGCCTGGGGGCGGCGCTGCCCCGCGCGCGCCCGCTCGCCGCCGCGGCGGCGATGGGGGCGGCGCGGACCCCGCCGCGGGGAGCGCGGTGGGACCCCGTCGCCCCCCGCCCCGCCTCGCTGTACGGTGAGCGAGCCTCCCTCCCGCTCCCCCGCTTCGCTTTTGTGTGTCCATTCGAGCCGCGTTTACTAGATCGGGACACGTTGCTGCGTGCGTCTGAGCCTCGAATTGAACTGCAGCTCGCAGATGCCAGGCTCACTCGGACGTGAAGGCGTCCCCTGCATCGGAGTCCAAGGATGTGGGGAGCTCGTCCCAGAGCTGGAGGATCAAGATGCTCTACGATGGTGAATGCCCGCTCTGTATGCGTGAGGTGTGTCGCATCATCCAGACATCCACCCATGGTTTCTGGGACTTGCTTGTTATGTTCAGCAATTGCATATTCAGAGTGCGCTCAAGCCTATGAATCAGCTTAATAACGACAAATATTCAGCAATTGCATGTTCGGAGTACTAACTGAAAGCTGAAATTGATGACTGTATGATAAGCCATATGAATCCATGAGAATGAACTAATGTTAGGCGATGCTGGTAAATGGTGCTGAGTCTGCAAGCTGATTTTGCCTTGGCTCAGTTACAGAAACAAAATATCCAGTGTCTATTTCATATCCAGGGCACTTCTCAACTATCTATCTTTTAAAAGTCTAACGTAGTGATATGCTTTTTGTATCATTTCTTTTCCATACCATTGTATTGAATCCATTACTTATTATATTCAGCAATTGCATATTCAGAGTGCGTTCAAACCTATGATGCAGCTTAACAAGGACACATATTTGTACATGTTCAACCACTGCCATAACTGAATGCTTGAATTGATGACTGTATGATATGCTATATGAATGCATGAGAATGAACTAATGTTAGGCTATGCTGGTAAATGGCTCTGAGTCTGCAAGCTCATTTTGCCTTGGCTCAGTCGCAGAAACAAAATATCCTGTGTCTATTTCATATCCCATGGCACTTCTCAACTGTCTGTTTTTTTTTTTCAAGTCTAATGTAGTGATATGTTGTTTCTATCATTCTTTTTCCATACCATTGTATCGTATCCCTTTTCCAGTTTAGATTATTTGATGCTCAATCAACTGCTAAGAATATTTCCAAGATGATAAATGAGATCTCATTGTTTCCAGGATTCTGAACCATCTGATCATGTGGATGAACTTTGTTCATTTGAATTAGTCCAAACAACATGGGTGTTTCCTATGAATTCTCGACTGTCATCATCATATACTACTCATGTCATGCTTAGTTTGTTTTCCTTGGAATTTCTCATCAGCATGAAACTGTCTTTAGGAGACACTTGGCTTTTGTTCCTCGCCATGAACTTAAAGTCTGTAATACTTTAGGACCCTGTCACATGGGTTAGACATGCTACGAACTCTATGTGCATCACCATCTTATGAATAATGAAGTCTCTGATTTGTAATCATTTAATTCTGAATTTTTTTTCACTTATCGGTGAATAAAACAGTACAGGCTTACTGGTGATCCTGCAAGCTGCAGCAACTAAGTTTTCTCTTATCAACTCTCATGTTTTGACAGGTAAACATGTTGAGGGAAAGGAACAAATCCTATGGAGCTATAAATTTTGTTGACATCAGCTCGAAAGATTACTCTCCGAAGGACAATCAGGATCTTGATTATGAAACTGTGCGTATTACCTTTTAGTACAGATTCTCATTTTGGTTTATTAGTTTCATACTCGGTTTTCTGGAAAGAATGAAGTTGGTCATGTATACGATCTATTGCCTCAGTGTCCAAATTTCAGTCTGTTGGATTTTTTAAGGCTACTGATACAAGAGCATAAAAGATACCACTTCGTAGTTGTAGTGATACACACCCAGGAAACCGAATATCTATTTCCCCCCTTGTAAACTTGTTTCTGGATATCCCAATGGCAGCCATTTTTATATTCACAGTTTTTAGTAACTCCCAACTACTTATGTTTATAGTTAAAAATTGATGGCGGTGTTTTAGCACAGTATGCAATCATTTTACCTTTTAGACTGAAGGCCTACCATTTTTCTCTCTAAATAAACTTATTTTCTGTTTCCAGGCCATGGGGAGGATACATGCCATTCTCTCAGATGGAACTATTGTCACAGATGTTGAGGTATGACTGTGTGAAATTCAGTGATTTGCATTCTCCCCTACTGAACCTGTTCTTCTCAAAAACAGAAGTTAGTAAGTTACTATAGGAAAGATAATAGCTTGAACTTATTTGGAAGCAAATGAAAGGCAGAGTTAGACATGGAAGTGATTGAAGTAGTGAATGATATATAATGTCTCCCTATTACAAGAGCATCCACATCCCTTGGTAGCAAGGAGAAGCTAAAACCCTCAAACGGATGGTTAGTCCAAGACGCGGAACAGAGTTATTAGTACTGTGATGCAAGAGTAGTATTACACAGAGCTTATTATCATCACATCATTTATTTTTTGCGAGAATCATCACATTATTATAGTAACTGTTTTGACCATGTGGCATTATCATATATTAAAGAAGCGTCTACCAGTCTGTGGAGTTAGTTTGAGCCTACAGTATAACCACTCCATACTAGTGCCAACTGCCAAGCTGACAAAGGTTGTAATACCAAGAGAAATAGGATGACCTTAGCAGCATATGCAGAATTCATATACATTTTGTCTATGCAACGGTTATTTATATGTTTTTGTACTAAATTTTGAGTAAGTAGTTACTAAAGTTACTATTGCAGGCATTCAGAAGGCTTTATGAGGAAGTTGGACTCGGATGGGTTTATGCAGTTACTAAGTATGAGCCTGTAAGTGCACATTTCCAGAGCAAATCCAAGAATCAGCTAGTTTCGTTCATTTCAGAGAGTTGTCGTTCAGCTGCATGCTTTCTACTTGATGGAACATTCGCTATATTAAACTTTTTTAGATGGAATGCTAAATCAAATTGAAGAACTGAGGAATTCAATTTTTTGGTCTGATGTGATCAACTTCAGTTTTAAATTATCATGTTACTTGTAATCCCGATCTTAATCTTACTCTGATGCCTTGCAGGTGGCTACCATAGCAAATGCAGTATATGGTGTATGGGCCAAATACCGTATGGAAGTTACAGGTTTGATCACCAACAGTTCGCCATATCGATAACTCCAGCATTTTGTTGCTCCATTTATTTTTGTAGTCGGATTAAAACCATTTTAATGATATGCACCTTTAATGAAGTATACTGGATAGTTTGAATGATGTGCTCATTTTTGTCGCTATGACAGGTCGACCTCCCCTGGAGGAAATTTTTGCAGCCCGAAGACAAGCGGTTAGTTGGCTTCATGTCCTCTTTCTTGGAACTTCATATATGACCATGAATAACTTGAGCTTGTGGTACCGTCTTTTCCTTTGGCAGGGCGAATGTAAAGATGATAAAGCATGCAAGATGTGAGCAGTGCTCCACACGTCTTCACTTCTACATAATGTTAGATAGGCACACATACATATAAATACAGTTAGTCTTATATTCGAGGGGTTGAGAGATTGACGACGGAGACGATGATGTTTTCTGTGTTGGGTAGTGAATAATTCCATAATCTTGCACAATTCTATGGGCAAGATACACAACTTTAGCAAGTTAATTCCAGGATGCTGTCTTCAGTTCTGCACTGAGCTCGCTTGTTGCATCGTATCCTTCATTGTTCACCTTCTCTGTTTTACTGTGTATGACCAGACCTGTTCTCTTGTGCAGTAAGATATTACAATATCATGTATTGGGAAGTGGAGTGAGTCACTTTCATACATATGTTTAGATAGGCACACTTACATATACATTAACTAGTCAAACGTTCAAATTATTCCGAGATTTGATGATACAATGCTGTTCTGCTGTGGAAAGTTTTAATACATATCTGGTGCTTAATTTGCATTGCCAAAATAAGCAGCGTGATTATCTTTTTATGTCAATCGTTGTGAAAATTTAAAGGTCTTTTTACACAGAACCCACCCCAGCCCTGTTTACATTCAATAAACAATGGCAAAGCTAACGTTATCAGCACAGAACACATTTCAGTTCAGCCAGGCACCTTTTTTTCTGAAAGGAAAGACAACTATTCTTTGAACTATGAAATCAAATCAAAATACACTCACATATAGTAGCCATTTGGTGAAGTATCTGGAAACCAGAATAAGTGAAGATACAACTTCACTTGAAAAGGACCATTACGTATATCCATACACACATCAATGAAACATGAACTCTTGTTTCTTTATTTGTCATGCCTCGAGCAGTATTCATCCTTCAAATAGTTCTCCCAACATCTTCTCGCATATGTCGGGACTGCTACTTCCGCGGCTAACGTTTTCCGCAACCTCCGGATGCTCCTTCAGGTAGTCGCGGTAACTTGTGATAGTTCCCCGCATCAGATCTCTGAGCTGTGGGTCTGGAACCTTCCAGAACTTGTGAGCGTGGTACGTTTCATGAAACGCTGATTGGAATTGAGCCATCGAAGAAGAGGTGTTGATCCAACGATGGAGTGGTCAGTGCAAATTCGAGTTCGGTATGCAGGACGACACATGAGACCAGGAAGCAAAGCATTGATATAACTACACATGTACAGTATTAAAAAGGATTAGTATGTTGGTGCATGCGTGCGTACTGGGTGTGATGACTTGTGTGTGTTCACTCGTGTGTTCGTGTGTACGCGACTTCCAGCTTTGGTGTGTGTGTTGTGTGTGTGCTCTGGTGTGTACTCCCGTCTGTGTGGGTGCTTTGCTTCTGTAAAAACAATTTGATACTATGGCAAATAGAAAGAGTGCTAGAAAATAACTTATGTTCAAAGAAAAATTATTTGCTTATGTCAAAAAACATGTAAACTTTATATTTGTACATCACTCGTTGTAAACAAAAAAAGCCTAAAACTTTGTTGCAAGAAATTCACATGCTCCTCCCTGCACAGTCCAAAATTTATATTGCGAGAGGCCCGTCGTTCATTTACATGTTAAAAAAAGGCAGAAACGACATTCTTTTGCCATTTTTAAAACTGCTCACAAAATTGCAACAAATTTGTAACAACTGTCTACAGGAAAAAGTTGCTCCTATTCATAAGCTTTCTACATTATGATAAATGGTTTAAAAGTTTCATACTGTATATACCGTTAAACCTTTTTATGTATGAAAAAAATCTGTTGAAACCGACACAAATATGAAAAAAATGATCAACACGGGGAAGTTGCGTGTTTTCAACAGCTTTCCATCGGTATATCATTTGCTCAATTCTGGTAAGTGGTTGGGGAGTTACGAGAAAAAAAACACGTGAAAAACAACGTGAAGTTCAAACAGACATGCCCCAGAAGTTCAACTTCTTCACGCAGTGCATTTCCGAAGACTCTATTTTCGCAATGAAGGCGCAACATATGATCTCACCTTTTTCAAAATTACTTAAAAACAGCTGGAACCAGAGAAAACTTTCTATATGAATTTTTTTTGCATTTTTGATAGCTTTCGAACATTATATTACTTGCCCCATTCTGCCAAAGTTTGCAAAACATACGTTCAAAAAACATTTTTAGCCATTTTTAAAATTGTCATAAAACTGTAAAGAATTGGGAGAAACATTATATATATAAAAGTCTCGCATTAGTTCAAGCTTTCCAACGTCATATCATTTGCCGCATTCCCGACAAACCATTTAAAAACTAACCCGAAAAAACAAACTCATAAGAACTTCGACCGTTCTCTAAATTACTTTTCAATTGTTTAAAATTTGAACAAACTTTCTATAGGAAAAAGAAGCGCATTTTCATAAGATTTCCAACGCCGTATCATTTGAATCAATCTGATTAACCATTTGGTAATTGCGGCAAAAATGAACTCGGATGTTCGGTTTAAAAATTCTGCCATTCTTCAAATTGCTCTTTAACCGTTGTGAACTTGGCACGATCCTTTCATAAATAAATTATTCACCCGAGGTAATCTTACAATCCTTTCATAAATTATTTGGAATATAAATAGTTACATTCATATTGATTCACTATTAAAATTTGGCATAAGAAAACAAAAATATAGGTCATAAGAACAGAAAAATGCATTTTATGTATATTTCACACTATGTTTTTATATTTGTAATTTTATGTAACATGAATTATTTTTTACGGTGATAATATACTTTATTATATTCTAAACTACATCTTATTACATGCTCTTACACTCCTTATATTCCATAAATATTTTACGTCTCTACAATAATCAAGTATTCATGTTCCAACTCCATCAAAGTATATAGCAATCAATTCCTGCAACAACGTATGGGGTATAATATGGGACAATTAGATGACCATGTCATGATAATATTTCTGTCTAGTGTGAAAAACACATATATAGATCTATCTCGTTCACAATATGCATCAGAGGCTGATGGATGTTTAGCTGCACTATACTACTGAAAAGTCTCCAAGTCTATATTTACCAAGTGTAAGGCATCACTGTACTAACCAATAACCAACGGCGTAGCGCGTGGGTGTCGATGGCGTGATGGTGTGGGCGTGCGGTTCCAATCAAAGCGACGGCAAACAGTGTTGGAGCAGGTCAAGTGGGTCGGGCGTGGGTGTTTGGCTTGAGGGCGTCGATGGCCTGAGGCTCCAACTGAGAAGGGGATTAAGGAGAGGTCAAAAGAACATAGGAGTTATGGGTCGGCGGTATTGGTCGCTCAAATCTGGTCGGCAGACGGCAGGTCGCCATGGCCATGGAGAATTGGAGACCGAGGGGAGGAGTGGAGGCACGGGGAGTTGTGGTTGAAGGCTGGAGGCCGATGAGTGTGCGAATAGGCGACAACAAGGGGGGCAAGGAGTGCAAGAGTTTTCACGTGTACAGATGCATGTTATGGTGGATCTTTTTTCCATGCATGATAGTAGTATATTGAGGTCCCTACATCCTTATCTCTATCTTTAAACCCAATGTGTACTCTAACAATGAAACTGGGCTGGGAATACAATTTGACAAATAAAAGATACAACATGCAAGATCAATCAGTTCTCAACCACTGGGCAGCTGCGGTGGCCGGAGGTACATGGGGTAGTGAAACTAGCTACCTCTGCGTGCGTGCGCCCTATGCCCTAATCGTATGCGCGCACGACCGCTCCAACCAAACGTGTCACACAGAATAAATAAATGAATAAACATTTGTAGGCTAACTAGCTAGCCGCTTCTAGTACATACTGTACACTGGTTATCTGCATTGGGCTATACCCGTGACCGAAGAGCGCTCTGTGCACTTGGTGGACGGCCCGAACATTTAATAATCATATATGTGCTGTTTTTCTTAGAACATATATGTGCTGTTGTTGGCAAATGAATGGTGTTTTCTTTTGTTGCGGAACAACGAATGATGCTCTTGTTCCTACGGAGAACACCTCACCAAACTGGGGTGTGGGCATGTGCAAAGTTGCTTGACGTTGTACGAAATTCATATACATACTATAAACCAAAATCGATAGAAAATGCAGCGACAGTAAACCACTGCAGCGACCGAGAGAGGTTTAGCATATGATGATAGGAGCAACATCATATGGAAAATACAACTCCAGCTCCGTGGAAGCAGACCTACATCAGATAACAAGTCACCCTAGGAGCCCAGCCATGTTTCCTTGTCTATACCTTCATGATCACCATGTCAATCAATCTTGCTGTCCAGCTATGTTCCTTTGTGTATGTTTCTATGATCACCATCTTGGTCAATCTTGCTCCCTCACCAAGCTTACTTTGTCCTCGTTCCTTTTCCAACATCGTCCATGAGTCAGAGTGGCTACAAAAGTTAAAATTTTAAAAGAACCATCACATGATTATCAAGGAACCTCTATCTAAAGCAGACAACATTGCACATTTTCCAAATTGTCCAACATGTCATTGCTCCTCCAGTCCACCGAGCACCAATTTTTTCCCCTAAATTTAGTTGGAAAACAACTACTTGGGTGTGCCTAGGTCTCAGTCAACTGAGACTTAACCAAGCCTCAGTCAAGTGGTATAGCAAATAAATAAAGAAAAAGAAAAAGCTAAAAAGAAAATTCTGCACGGATATTCATGTAAAATCTTATGAATATATCATTGACTGAGACTTGGTTTAGCAATCCCGTTCCTCATTAATATTGCTTTCTAAGAGAGAAAGATGATTAAGAAATTATTCAACCGCTTGCTTGCATCGAAGGTATATGCATCTGAGTATCAACAGACAAGCCACATCTGGAGCACAATTATAACAACCCTTTTTTGCTAGCTGCGGATTTATACTCCACCAAGAGAATAATGTCATACATTTTTTCCATGCGTTATATAGCGAATAACACAACATCATAAGAACATATCGTGTACTGCAAAACTCAGGGCAAATATCATTACTTCATATTTTATACCGATATAGAATTATCTGATGACGCTAAACATGCTACCATATAGGCTCATCAACATGTAAGTATTACCATGTGAAATGTATATAAAATCAACTAAACACTGATGAACTAGATGCCAATTGATGATATTGTCCAAAAGAAGCAAAATCAAAAAGTATGCCTTATTTTAGTGCAAGGTGGGGATAATACAATTGACGGTGTTGAGCATGCCAGAAATAAAACAGATATTATATGCAAGAACCGAATAACATATTAATTTGGATTCTGCGATCATAGTATCATAATACCATATTTGGCTTGGCACTAGTAGAAAAAGGGTCTAATGTGAAACTCATTAGTCCCAATTTGTAATTGAACTAGCACTAATGTGACCATTAGTACCGGTTCCAACGGCTAGGCGGGCAGCGCTCATTAGTACCAGTTCGTGGTGGACCTTTAGTACCGGTTCGTGTCACGAACCGATACTAAAGAGGTTGTGGCCTTTAGTACGGGTTGGTGGCTTCAACCGGTACTAAGGGGGGGGGGGGTCTTTAGTACCGGTTAAAGGTGGCGGCCTTTAGTACGGGTTGATGGCTCCAACCGGTACTAAAGACCCCCCTTTTAGTACCGGTTGGAGCCAACAACCGGTACTAAAGGTGGTGCGCTGCCACCCGCAGTGCATAATGTTTAGTCCCACCTCGCTAGTTGAGAGGAGTTCACACCGGTTTATAAGCCCCGTCGTGGCTACCGTGTCGAGCTCCTCTCTAAGCAGGCCTTTGTGGGCCTATTGCAAGTCTTCTGCCCTGTGGGGCCTACTGGACCGTACGCGCCTGCATCCTGGCCCAACTAGAGATTGGGTTTCTAGTCGTACGCAGGCCGTGCCGGCCTAGTAGGCGGGCTGTTTTTACTTTATTTCAAAAATAAAAAAAATCCTTACCAACCGGGACTAAAGGTCCTCCAGACCACGGCACGCCTCGTGCCACGTGGTGGGCCTTTGGTCCCGGTTCGTGTTAAACCGGGACTAAAGGGGGGAGGGGGGTGGACCTTTAGTCCCCACTCTTTAGTGCCGGTTTCAGAACCGGTACTAAAGGTCCTTACGAACCGGTACTAAAAGTCGTTTTTCTACTAGTGTGACACAGTAAAAGGATATCATCAAATTCACAATAGATGTTCATTTAAAGGTAATTGTAACCGTGACTATTGTAGGAGCCGCCATGTAAACTTACATCAACAAGCAGTCAATCACACTTGAAGCTAGCAATGGTTAATCGTTACCGCATCCCCGTGGGTAATTCCTCTATTAGGGGACGAGGATGGGGCAGTTTTAGTGCCCACGGGAAAGCCGTTGGGTCAGATACCTTTCCTAGTGGCTAGGACGGATATGAGGATGAGATATCATTACCCGTACCCGTTACCCGCCTTGCCCCTGAGTGCTTTACATGTGGGTCCTAAAATTAGTATCTGCGAAGAAAGATTAATATTTATTATAAAGATTAGCAGAAGTACAAAGCACCTCAAACGTAATAAGAATTAGAGGGGCCCATCTAGATATGAAAGAAGCTTCGCAACATAGATAAATAAAACAATGTAAAATGCAATCACACAAGTAGAGGTACAATAACTATGAGATATGAAACTATCACACATGAAACTACCTAGGTAGGTGATACAATTCTACACACTATAAAGATCCAACCATCCAAGATCAATCAGTCCTCGAGCACCGGATATACTGCTGGTTCCATGAAGATACCTAACACACCTCGCTTGTCATCAACATGCCTGCGGATCCTCCCAAAGCCCTTCTCACCCCAGTTTGGTCCCCACGAGTTCTTGAAGCGCCAGTACTTGATGCCATTGGAATCTGTGCCATAACCGACAATCAGGACAGGATGCAAGCGATCGGTCTTTCCATTGACAGCTTTACAATCCAAGATGCCTCCTTTGTACTCATACAGATCATCGAAAAACTGCAAAGTGACCACCACGGGACGCTTCGCTACCGCTTTCTCTAGAGCATCCTCAGTTGGCTTGACAAATCGAAAGCCTGATATCCTTATTGCTGCTGCTGTTTTGTTTCTCTTGCAACCAGATTTACTCCTCCGAGCCATGTATGGGTAGTCGGATTCGCTCGAGAGTCCATTTTTGCTTATATATCTGAAAGCATTTTCTTCGTGGCCACCCTGACACCCATGACTCTCTGTGTCACAATCGATGAGCTCTTGAACCGACAACGAGATCGACTTCAAGGTCTTCATGTAATGTAGAGCTTCGACTGAGGCTGCAGCAACCATCGCCCAACAGCTGCCTGTGACAAATGCAAGATTAGGCGTTGTAAGGGATCCATGCATACGCTAATATGTAAAAATACGCTTTCGGCATTAGCTGCCGTCTAGAATTATCCATCACACATCAGGAAGTAAACTACGATGTACTCCTACAAACATATCAGTTTAAAACACACGCTCGCTCGAAGTGGAGAGTAATAATTAAGCTCAAGTTACTCACCACAACCGTTTTGTTTCCTCACAACCGGAGAGACGACGCCAGCTTTAACCCAGTCAATCTCTGACGGTACAACCGAAGAGACGAATTCATGTTCAATCCTGTCTGCCACCTTCAAACAGGCCCAAACTCCAAAACCAACATATCCAGACCATGCAGCTAGTTTCATAGACCTGCGAAGAAAGCCAAAGCGGTGGCCAGCAGTAGCTGCAGCATCCCCAACATTGCTCTGCTGAGACTGCAATTTGATCACCAGAAAATATCAAGTTTCATCAAGCACACAGGTCCACGCTGAAAGAGAGGAAATTGAATTGAGAGAGGCGTACGTACGTGTAGGTGTCTCAGCCTGCTAGCTCCGGCCGGCCTCGACAGCGACCGAGCCGCCGTGGCCTGGCCGCGCAGCAGGATCCTCCCCACGGCGCCCAATGCCGGACGAAACATGTCTGACTACACCCAGCCGGTCTGTCCGTCGCTAGCTCGATCATGGATCCATTGAAATTTGAAGAATATAGATGAGGTGGCGGGCCAACGGAACTTGAATTGGAGCAGAAATCCAACTCATGCTCAGACGATCCACCGTGGATGAATCGGAGTCTCAAGGTTGCAGGCTTTTATTTCTGGAAAAAGTTTAAAAACAACCCGCTGATTACAGCCGAGCGTAAGCCTCCTTGAGGAATCAACACGCGTCCCTGCGGCCCTACCACCGCCCGTCCCATAAGTCTTATCCTGCTGCTCCTCTCAATCCTTCTCCAACCTCGCTCTCCTCCCACCACAGAGCCTCCCCTGTCTTCCTCTTCCTGCCTTTCTTCCATCCCGTTCGGCAGAGTTGTTGTTGCTGCTGCTACGACCTACGAGGGGCATCGCTGCGCTGCGACCACTACTTTTTTGACGACACGACGGCGAGCTGTTGCTGCACTGCAAAGCGACGACGCTGCTAGTGGTGAGGGCGGTGACGCCGGGCCCCAAGGGTAGCGACCGTCGGCGCTGCAGACGACGACGCTGTCTTCCTTTGGCGGCCGCTAGCCGCGCATGCTGCAATTGGTGGCTGTGGTGAGGAGCTGCGCCACATCAAGCTGCGTGCCCCGATGCTGCGATGGAACTTTGGCGGTGCAATCCAGTGCTACAATGGAGCTTTCCCGGGGCTCACGAGTGCTGCGATGGAGCTTTGCCAGGGCAGTCCAGTGCTGCAATGGAGCTTCACCGGGGCCGCCGGTGTTGCTATGGAGCTCCATCGAGGCCGTCTAGTGCTGCAATGGAGCTTTGCCGGTGAGCCACTAGTGCTGCGATGGAGCTTGGAGAGGGGAGGGGGCTTTCAATGCTGGGATTCAGGCTGCAGGAGTGGGTACTAGTAGAAAAAGGGTCAAACGTGAAGCACATTAGTGCCGGTTTGTATTTGAGCCGGCACTAATGTATACATTAGTGCCGGTTTCAACGGCTAGCCGGGCCGCTTTCATTAGTACCGGTTCGTGCCACGAACCGGTACTAATGAGAGTGGTGGCAGGATGTTGTCAGACTGGGCCGCTCCAGCCCCTTTAGTACCGGTTCTTGGCACGAACCGGTACTAAAGGTCGTCCTACATAAACCCTTCGTCCACCCGAGCTCGCTCTGTTCTTCCCCTTTTCCCTCTCCTCTCTGTTCTTCCCCACTTCCTCTCGAGCTCATCACACATTTTGCCCAAAATTTGTCAAGATTTGAAGGCCCCCATCCATTCAAATGATCACAAAGGTTAGCAACTTTGTCCTTTCATCTCTCATTGCTAGATTAGCTCTTGCAATGCTTTATATAGTGATTAATTTGTGAGTTTAGTAATTTGGGAGGATATATATATGCTAGTATTTAATTTATATGCAATTTGAGGTCAAAAATAACACTTAATTTGCATATGTAGGTGTGGTTTACTTAGTGCCTTCTAAATCTCCATCGTAGCCACCGTCGATCGCCCGCACCGTCCCATCGCCGGCACCACCTTGTGGTGAGCCTCTTGTTCATGAAATTTTATATAAAAATTGATGTTTGTGTGATTTGGATATATAGTTACTCGTATAATTATCTTACCCGTACGTTGTTTGTTATACATATAGTGCCATGGTTTTGATATCCGTCCCCGCCGGCCCTCGTCCTTGTTATGATTCGGATGTGGTATGTATATTCTCTTTTAAAACTAGTTGCATTTCGTGTTTATGACAAATTATGTCCATCAAATTGACATAGAAATTTTTTCTAGGAGGTATGTGAACCGGAAATTCCAACCGACCCTATTGCCGAGAGGTTAAATTTAGTTGAAAGAAAAAACGAGTACTTGAAAGAAAAATTGAAAAGAATTGAGGGGGAGAAGATGGAATTGGAGTTGCATGTTGCCGATGTCGTCGATGATCACAAGATCAAGATGGAGAAAATGCGCTTGAAGATTAGAAAGATTAGAAAATATGCCATCGATAGTGAGGCTTGGTATCATTATGCTATTGGATCCATTGTTACCTTAGTTGCGATCTTGATCGAATTTGTTGTTGCATTTAAATGCTTTAGCTAGAGAGTTATTTGTTTGTTGCATTTAAGTGTTTGATGAACTTTATGTATGAACTTGTATTAATTTGGTCTATTCGGTGTTGTGTAATGAAGATGAGCCGACAATGGATGTACGATGACCGATACTCTCCCCAGTTCGTTGAGGGCGTGCATACTTTTCTGCTTGCGGCTGAGGCAAACAAGCGAGCGGATGGTTTTATGCCTTGTCCATGTGCTCGCTGTAAGAATGGTCACAATTACTCTACGTCAAGAACCATTCACGTCCACCTGTTTAAGTCCGGTTTCATGCCCCATTATAATGTTTGGACCAAGCACGGAGAAAGAGGGGTTATGATGGAAGACAATGAAGAAGAAGAGGACGACGACAGCTATCCTGGCCATGGGTTCCCTGAATACGATGATACAACAATGGGGGAAGAAGCTAAGCCGGTAATGCGGGAAGAAGCTGAGCCGGCAATGCGGGAAGAAGCTGAAGAAGAGGCATCAGATGAGCCCGTTGATGATCTAGGTTGGGCCATTGCCGATGCAAAGAGAAACTGCGCAAGTGATTTGGAGAAGAAGAAGTTGCAGCGCATGTTAGAGGATCACAACAAATTGTTGTACCCGAATTGCGTAGGTGACAAGAAAAAGCTGGGCACCACACTGGAATTGCTGCAATGGAAGGCAGAGAATGGTGTATCTGAGAAGGGATTTGGAAAGTTGCTGGTAATGATAAAGGATATGCTTCCAAAGGACAACGAATTGCCCGAGAGTACGTACGAAGCAAAGAAGGCTGTCTGCCTTCTAGGGTTAGAGGTGCAGAAGATACATGCATGCCCTAATGATTGCATCCTCTACCGCGGTGAGTACGAGGATTTGAACGCTTGCCCGGTATGTGGTGCATTGCGCTATAAGATCAGCCGCGATGACCCTGGTGATGTCGAGGGCCGGCGCCCCAGGAAGAAGATTCCTACCAAGGTGATGTTGTATGCTCCTATAATACCACGGTTGAAACGTTTGTTCCAAAACAAAGAGCATGCCAAGGCGATGCGATGGCACAGAGAAGACCGTAAGAAAGACGGAAAGTTGAGAGTACCCGCTGACGGGTCGCAGTGGAGAAAAATCGAAAGAAAGTACGGGAAGGAGTTTGCAGATGACGCAAGGAGCGTATGGTTTGATCTAAGCGCAGATGGCATTAATCCTTTTGGGGAGCAGAGCAGCAACCATATCACCTGGCCTGTGACTCTATGTTTGTATAACCTTCCTCCTTGGTTGTGCATGAAGCGAAAGTTCATTATGATGCCAGTGCTCATCCAAGGCCCTAAGCAACCCGGCAACGACATTGATGTGTACCTAAGGCCATTAGTTGAAGAACTCTTACAACTGTGGAATGGAACAGGTGTACGTGCGTGGGATGAGCACATGGGGGAAGAATTTGACCTAAAGGCGTTGCTGTTCGTGACCATCAATGATTGGCCTGCTCTCAGTAACCTTTCAGGACAGACAAACAAGGGATACCGCGCATGCACGCACTGTTTGGACGATACCGACAGTATATATTTGGCTAATAAGAATGTGTACCTGGGACATAGTCGATTTCTTCCGAGCAGGCATCCCGTAAGAAAGAAAGGCAAGCATTTCAAAGGTGAGGCGGATCACCGGACGAAGCCTCGCCACCGTACTGGTGCTGATGTACATGACATGGTCAAGGATTTGAAGGTGGTCTTTGGAAAGGGTCCTGGTGGACAACCTGTTCCGAATGACGCTAACGGACGCGCACCCATGTGGAAGAAGAAATCTATATTTTGGGACCTGCCCTATTGGAAAGACCTCGAGGTCTGCTCCGCAATCGACGTGATGCACGTGACGAAGAATCTTTGTGTGACCCTGCTTGGCTTCTTGGGCGTGTATGGGAAGACAAAAGATACACCTGAGGCACGGGAGGACCAGCAACGTATGCACGGAAAAGACGGCATACATCAGGGTCATGCAAGCTACGCTCTTACCAAAGAAGAGAAGGAAATTTTCTTTGAATGCCTGCTCAGTATTAAGGTACCGTCTGGCTTCTCGTCGAATATAAAGGGAATAATAAACATGGCAGAGAAAAAGTTTCAGAACCTAAAGTCTCATGACTGCCACGTGATTATGACGCAACTGCTTCCGGTTGCATTGAGGGGGCTTCTACCGGAAAACGTTCGATTAGCCATTGTGAAGCTATGTGCATTTCTTAATGCAATCTCTCAGAAGGTAATCGATCCAGAAATCATACCAAGGTTACAGAATG